AAAAAAAAACTTTCATCTCTTTATCAGTTGTATCTACGTATGTATGTAAATTTTTCTTGGGTTTTTTTTTCTTCAAGATTTAGAATTGGAAATTTGGAAGTTAAGTTTTAGTAAGAGTTTTACGGCACTTGCAACACAATAAAGTCATATAAGAAGTGCCGAAGATTAGAGGTGTTACAAGAGAGTAACCAACAAAAAAAAGAAGGAGGGGAGAAAGAGATGATGATTTTTTACGGTGCATAGGAAAAAAAGGAGCGAACCACACCAGAGCACCCGCCAATCATCCACAAAATTTGGAAAAAATATTTCTTGAAGACATGTAAACAATAGCACAGATTAAGAATTTAATGCAAAATGTCTAGACCTTAGTAAATCTTGGGCTTAGTACATTGGACCAGCTGGCAGACGTATCATATTATTTTTCATCATCATATATATATCTGATTTGAACTCTAGGAATCCAAAGCATCTTGAGCTAAATCAGAACCGTGTACAGCAGCTTCTCATGCCAGCCCTCACAGTAAGATTGGACTTGCCTATGTAAGTGTTATGCACATTTGTGTGTTTGTGCATCATGTCCTCGCCTCAAAACTCTTTTGTCCAAACTGTACTTTATAAATAAAGAGGCACTTTGGACAAAATAGTTCTGAGGCAACAAACAATGTGTAAGTGCACTGATATTATATGTGGCACGACGTGGTGAAATCAGGCTCTCGTCAATTTTGGGAGATTCGGGGTTGATGATATCATCTTAATGCCTGTCCATTTTCCTTGTTTAGGGGGAAAATAATATCCATCTACGTTGAACAGAAGTCGAGATAAAGAGGTGAGGGTCATCTGGTTCCAGAGGTGAAATTAGCAAGAAAATGGCTGTCAAAGTTCAGTTATTTCTTTAGCTTGAGACTCTGCGGAAACTGACTGTATATTTACATTTCTTCTGCCTTTAATCAATGTTTTTCATTTAAATCCACACATAAACGTGCTCTTTAATGGGCATGAAAGGTGCTGAACCAAAAAACAAAACAAAAATTCTATAAAAATTCCCAAACCTGCAGGAAAATGCGATTTTCTGGATTTTCATTACTTTGTCGAGCGCCTGATTCCACCTCCATGCCTCACATTTTGTGGTATAGCTACACAGGTTAAGTAGTAATGACTCAAAAAGACCTTCCTTTTTCAGCTCAAATCTTGTATGGGAAAAGTTGCAAAAATGAGTTGTGGGCACACGAACACATCTACGCAAGCAAAAATTCTGCTGTGCAGTTGAATGAAATTGTCATTTAATGTATTATATCCACTATATATATACAAATAATACAAAATGCACTTCAGCCACACTTGACTCACAGACACACACACAGAGACACACACACGCACAAACATTTCTACACTGTAGAGACATAGGACATAGGAAAAGTAAGAAAGGAAAAATGAGTGAGAAAAGACAAGGGGGGCGCACAATGTCGGGACAAGGGGACACTGTGTTGTGTAGCATGCTTGCCAAACTCACCAAGATATACAGACCATGAACCTCCCCAGTGAACCACCACAATATTCACCAGCACTCCCACCCCACTTGCACAACGAGGTAGATGGTCCCTTTCAGGTGTCTCCCGACACGCAGGTCAAGAAAGATAAACAGCAACAAACATTCAAATAAATCTTTAGATACAAACAAAGTTATGATAATTAATCAATCAATCAATCAATCAATAATAGCACATTGTTTTTTTTTTCTTTCTTAAATCAAAGGAAGAAGTTAAGTCTTTATATACACATGATGAACTCAAAAAGGGCGGTGACAAGTGTTGAATCAAGGTGTTTGTTGTAATGATGAAGTACTTCTTTAACAGGGAGAATGAATCCCCACCCAGCAGGCATCATTGGACTGAACACACACACTCAAGAGATCTATGTATGTAAATTCTACGACAACAAAAACTCGACAACAAAAATTTCCTTTTCTCTTTTTGTGTGTGTGTGTGTGTGTGTGTGTGTGTGTGTGTGTGTGTGTGTGTGTGTGTGTGTGATCATTTAGCAGAAGAATCCGGTAAGTGGGTGCCAAAGGAAGGACCAACGCCATCTCCTATTTTTATGGGTCTCAACTCAGAATTTTAAAAAAGGAGGAACTGTCAGTCTGATTGCGACAGAAGACCATTTTCACGAGACACCCATTATTTTTACTATACTGTTTGACTTTGACCCTAGAATGCTGAAATAAAAACCATCAATTTATCCATACCAATTTGAGAGTTTGGAAGATAATTTCAAGTAAAAGAGTAGCCGTAGTGGAGTTAAGCGGTGGAAATCCGCTAAACCACGGAATATTGAGACCCATACTATTTACACCTCCTGTGTAAACCACAGACTCTGGCTACCAATCCCACTACAAATACAACCCCTCCTCAAATCAGTAAGTATGTCTACAGTGTATGTCAGTGACAATACACTTTTATTTCCAATTGGGCCAGACCACCTCGGGTCACCAGCAGTAAGAGGACTCTGACAACTGCAACAGTGAAAGAAGAAATAGGAGCACACAATTCACTCACTCAACCGGTAGCTTTTGATGGATAAATCTATAACCACTCTTAAGAAGCCGTATGAGACAAGTAATCCAACACTAGGATTTGTAACATTCCTGAAGCGAACTCTAAGCAATACAACTAAACAGAATGTGAAGCGAAACCAACAAACGCAATTCCCTTATCTTTGAAATGTCATCCCCAGACCTAGGCTGTTTTATTTCAACGACACTTAATTCTGTAAAGATTTAAATCTTTTCAACAAATAAAAATCTGAACACAATATTTACGGACATCAAGCTTATGTTCTCAAACGTTCATCATCTCAACGATTCAAGGACAGCGAAATTCTATCCAACCGTTCATAAAATGTGAAACACTATCCATTACCAACACTAAAACTATATCAAAAGGTAAAATAGCACAGAACTTCTATCCAATGAATCATGAAAAATGAAATTTAATCCACTGATCTAAAAGTGGTGAAACGTCAACCACAAATCCACAACGGATAAAAATCTATCCAAATCATAAACAAGAGCGAAAACTTCAACCAATAATCCCATGGCTTGATATCCATCCACCGATACATCAGAAATGAGCTAGTACATCCATCCACGGCACAGGAGTAAGATTCCCCAGAACTTCACAGAGAATGAAGCTCATAAAAATGCACTGGGTGAAACGTCTCCTAACAGTTCACTGCGTATCAGTTCCTATCTAGTTTCAAAAGAGTGAATGTGAATGTCTATCCAATGATGCACACTAAGGGGGTAATAGGGGAAAGGGGGAGGGGGGGCGGGGGGATCCAGTAATCCAGTAATACCATTCCACTGTATTAGAAAGGCTGCTATTCCTTCGAGTGATTCCAGGAATCAGAACAACACCCAATACTCTGCCAGTGGCGATAAATCCTTCTACTCTCCAGGGCAGCCAGCGGGGGTGGCAAAGTGCTGGCTGACTGGCTCACTGGCGTCCTCGGGGCAACTTCACCGTCTGAGGCACACACACACACACACACCACCACCACATTGTAACTGTCCTTCCACACAAAGAAGAACAGACAACAGCTCTCCGTCCGTCCGCCCCACCCCCTCAAAAAAGCCAGAGTCCGAAGGTAAGTTATCATTCCAACACTCGGGGCCCTGCCGCTGCTGCGTGAACACAAGTACCATCCTCCTTTGAAATAACTGCTACTCCAATGTGATTTGTCTGATAGCAGCCGGGAAGGGTCCCTGGTGAAGAGTTCAGACATGACTTCCCAGGCAGCCTTTTGGTCTTTCGTCTCGTGAAAAGCGCTCACTCAGAGAACAACAATCTCATAGACTGTGGCTTCGTCTTCCTCAGTAAAATCCCTCGGGAAAACGATTTCAATCCCTCGGAAAACGATTTCACTCCCTCGGAAAACGATTTCACTCCCTGGCTTAGTGTGATGTCTGTCCCGCATGAAGCACTCAGAAAATGACCTCATACACCGTGGCCTTCTTGTCCCCTGAGCCTGTGACAATGTATTTGTCGTCAGCAGATATATCACAACTCAGCACTGAGGACGGCTCTTTGGACTGAAAGAAACAAAAAGAAAAAAAGTTTAGTTTTAGTTTTAGTAAATGTTTTACGGCACATGCAACACAATAAGGTCAAATCAACGCTGAAGATTAGAGGTGTTTTAGTTTTAGTAAGAGTTTTACGGCACTTGCAACACAATAAGGTCAAACCAGCGCCGAAGATTAGAGGTGTTTAGTTTTAGTAAGAGTTTTACCGCACTTGCAACACAATAAGGTCAAATCAGCGCCGAAGATTAGAGGTGTTTAGTTTTAGTAAGAGTTTTACGGCACTTGCAACACAATAAGGTGGTAAAAAAAAGTGTCGAAGATTAGAGGTGTCACAAAAGAGTAACAAACACAAAACAGAAGGAGGAGAGATAAGGACGATAGATGTTTGATAGGACAGAAGGAGCAAACAACACCAGAGCACCTGCCAACCACCCACTTTTGTATCTTCATACCCAGACACTTCAGTACAAGCACAACAGAATAAAAGAATGTATGTTTCATTCCAACAGTCAGAAAAGTAGGCCAGGTCAGACAATACCAGACCATCCATGAACATTTATTGGGCCAAAATGAACTACAGAACTCTCAGACTGGACGGCGAGTGTGTGTGTGTGTGTGTGTGTGTGTGTGTGTGTGTGCGCGGGGGGGCGGTGGCACCAATGAGATGAGACAGAACTCTAAAAAAATCTTACTCAACCTTACTTCCAACAATGACAATTACAGAGTCGGCAAATAGTTCAATGACCTTGGCCTACCTCTGTGACTGCCACTAGTTACATTTGCTGTTACACATAGCACCTCTGCTCTCATAGAGACAGCACATTAGTTACATTTGCTGTTACACAATAGCACCTCTGCTCTCACCGAGACAGCACATTAGTTACACTTGCTGTTACACATAGCACCTCTGCTCTCATCATGACAGAGTTCAATTGGGTTTAAAAGTATCAACTTATCGCAGCGATAACAAAATTATTAATTACAGCTAAGTACCACTCACTCAGTCAAGTGGGGAAAAACTTGCACTCAACTACACCCACATATTATCTATAGAAGCAACAGTAATAACTCAATTGTATCTAAATAAAGGCTACTTATGTCAGTGATAACAAATTCTTTCCACATCTCTGAGGACAAAGTCCAGTGACAGGAGAATGTCAAAACAGAATATTCTGATGCAAGCAACATCAAGATTTTTGTGTTAGTTTTTTTTTAGGTCATGATTTCAAAGTTTAACTTGATCTATTTTTTCTCGCTCTGATCTTTCGGGAACGAGTTAATTACTGGCTTCATGGCATGCGATTAAGTTCATGAAATACTGCTACCTAAAAAATCCTTAATTTCCTAATAAGACGTTATATAACAATTTCGAGAAAAAAATGGTGCAGGGTTCAATTGGTCGCTTTTTCAGGACAGGCAGGCTAACCCAGATTTCAGGGGTTTCCAGAAATCTCGACCTACATCAAAAGTGGGCATTGCTCTATTTGTAGAAGAAGTTTGGTTTCATTTGTGGGTATATTTGTTTGGTTATAGAGAAAACTCTCCTTGACTTTTAAAGAAACTGAACAAGGAGCAAAAACTTTAACTTTGATTTTCTCAAAACAGCATTTTTCGGGATAGCCCTCTTGTGCTTAAAAGCGACCAATTGAGGAAACTGAAACGTTATTGTCCAACCTGAAATATACTGGCTCCGTACGGTGTGCGCCAAGCATTGAGCAGATTATCTTTGCCTGTGCTAATGAACCACTCCCCGCAGTAGGCAAACTTGAGAGACAGCACACAGCTCTCGTGCAGGTGCAGCTGATACTTGTCTGGTTTGGAGTGATGCAACACCTCCACGTTGCTGCTCTCCATCCTGGAAGACATTGGAGAAAAAAGACGTATGTTCATCAATTTTCTCTTATTTATTTGAGCAAATAGAAGCAGCACATCCGCATAATAGTGATCACCAATTTTTTAATTTTGTTTTTTTTGTTTTTTTGTTTTTGGTAAGGGTTTTTAGCACTTGCAACTGCATAAGGTTTTAGTTTAGTTTTAGTAAGAGTTTTACAGCACTTGCAACACAATAAGGTCATATAAGTGCCGAAGATTAGAGGTGTTACAAGAGAGTAACAAACACAATATAGAAGGAGTGGAGACAAAGACGACAGATGTTTGATAGGAAAGAAGAAGAAACCACACCAGAGCACCCGCCAACCACCCACACTGTATAAGGTCACGGGAAAAGTAAGACAGACTGAAAAAAAAAAAAAAAAAAAAAAAAGAAAGGAGAGAAGGATTTAGTTCTTCATTCTTCTGTCGTTTTGACGCCTGCCGATGGGGGTCACATGATGAATTAAGAACTAAAAATCTAAACTTTGGTCAAATACTAAGAGCAGAAAAAGGAAAACGAAATGAACTGCGGAATGTTATAGACATCAAGTTTGTTTCTTTTCTCCATAGCACAACAGCACACAGAAATAGTACTTATCCTCATGGAGGTTTTTTCCCTCAACAGACAATCATTGGTATACACATGCGAGGCATCGTGGTCAAATCAGGTGCTCGTCAAAATAATGAAATCCAAGAAATCGGCATAAATTTTTCTGATAAATTGGAAATTTTTTTCATATTTTTTTGGGGGGGCTTAACACCTTGTATGTCCACTTAAAAACTTTTGTGTGAGGATTTTACGGGAAAAACGTTGATTAAAGGCAAAACAACTTTAAATTTGCAGCTGCCAAGGGCTCTTAAGTTATGGTAGTCACCAAACTTTGGCGGCCATTTTCTTGGTAATTTTACCTCTGAAACCAGGCAACCCCACCCCCTTCAATTGCAAATATCTCGACTTCTATTCAAGAAAAACGCATATTTTTTTCGTCAAAAGCAAGGCAAAAGAATAAATAACCTATAAGATGATACCAATAACTCTACTCTATAAGTCTATATTCCCAAAAATTGACGAGCTCCTGATTCCATTGCGTCATGACACATATGGTACGACAGGGTAAGGCAGGAGCCACGTGTTACTACTCTTAATCACAGTGTATGACAGAGGAGATCTCATGATAGAATACATCACAAGATAAAACAGCTTTCATTCAGGTCACGAACTGCTGATGAGACGACAACAACGTACAATGAAGACAAGCTATCAGATGGACCTACCATGCCTGTCAGTAGTTTGGAGCGAGTAACAGAACAAATTTACTTTAGTTTTAGTACGAGTTTTATGGCACTTGCAACACAATAAGGTCATATAAGTGCCGAAGATTAGAGGTATTACAAGAGAGTAACAAACACAAAAAAGAAGGAGGGGAGATAAAGACGACAGATGTTGGATAGGAAAGAAGAAGAAAAAAACACACCAGATCACCCGCCAACCACCCACAAACAGAACAAAGGTTGATGACATATTGCAGTATTAACAGTAGATAGAGGTTTCATGATAAACTGTTTCATGATTCCATTTTAACTGTTCTCAAGCCTAGGAAGCTCCTCCTTAACCATCACTTACCCGACGGCAAGCCATTCGCCTTTAGGACAATAACCCAATGAGAAAATTTGAGACGTAAAATCATGCTGCTGCAGCTGTCTACCCTGAAAGCAAAAGAAAACAATCCAGTGTTACAGACGTGGTGGTACTTGAGGGAGGCATTGCGCTGCCAAGAGCAAAATGCTCGCAGCTAGAGGGATTACAACAACAACAACAGATGAGGTGGAACCTCAGCAAAATGTTCTTTTCTTTGCACACACATATCGTCGCCTCAGAACTATTTTGTCCAAAGTGCCTCTTTAATTAAGTACAGTTTGGATAAAATAGTTCTGAGGTGACAATTTGTACAAGAAAAATCAGGCCATAACATTATAGGTAAAAAAAGAAAACAATTGACATTTGAGTGGGGTAAACAGCAAAATTTTGCTCATATTTTGTCAACAGCTGTATTAATCAATACATTCATTGATTTTGATCATATTGTTTTAGTAAGGTTTTACGGCGCACGTAACTGAATAAGGTCATACGAGCACCAAGTGGTGGATGTTAACAGAGAAGTCCTTACAGGGAATCAGGCTTACTCTGCTCACCTCTTTAGCTTCAACAGCACAAAGTCTGCTTCGACTATCAAGGCACCCCGGAAATAGAGTGTGACAAACATACAAAAGAAGTAGAGGAAAAAATGATGATAGTACTGATTAGGAAATAAAAAGCAGCAGTTCCCTGTTGCAGTTCAGGCACAGAACTTATGAGCATGACAATGATGAATCAACCCATTTACAATTACAATTCTACTGTGCATAAGAACGTGGTTAATGTCCCCCCTTTGGGAATGGCCTTAAGACACTTCAGTCAGTGGCACCGCCTCTGGGGGTGATTGATCATGTGATGACAGACAAGTAAGTTACAATATCGGTCACTACCACTATAGTCATCGAGCCTACCGGGTGGGGAAAGCAAAAATCCATACTTGTATCACCTTAATAATAGATAGCATTTTTATAGCGCAAATCCCCGCTCAACAGCAAGCTCTATGCGCTTCACAATCTGTACTATTTCCCCAGCAGACCTGAGAGCATTCTGAAACAAACTCAACTTCCTGGGAAGCATACAGTGCAAGCAGCCATTTATATGCACTAAAACACTAACATACTGACAAGATCTTTTGCTGTCTATGGCCGGGTACCCATTCAAATCTGGGTGAAGCAATTTAGAGAAAATTAGTAGAACACTCCTAGCGATAAATACATTTGAGGGAAGGGGGCTGGAGGGAGGTATCCCAAATTTCTGCAAAAAAAACTTTTCTACTTTTTACAAGAAGAGAAATAATTTCCATTCTCACCTCCCGGAGATCCCAGGAACGCACGGTGTTGTCCAGACCTCCGGTCCACAACTTGGTGCCGTCGGGAGAGATGTCGATACAGCTGGCTCCATCTGTGTGGCCTTGGAATTGTCTGAAACAAAAACAGAAGAAATTTATTTCCATATACTCAAAAGGGAGAGAGGGAGGGGGAGAGAGAGAGAGAGAGAGAGAGAGAGAGAGAGAGAGAGAGAGAGAGAGAGAGAGAGAATTTTAAAAAAGGAGTACTCTGCACCAAGATAAGAACACCCACCAACAATCCGCCCTCCAAAGAAAGGCAGCGGCGACTGACCGACAAGCGTAAACTCACTGGGGATGAGGGGGAGGAGGGAGGGAGGGAGGAAGGAGGGAGAGTGAGAAGGAGAGGGAGTGAGAGGGAGGGAGAGAAGGAATAAGAGAAAGAGAGAAGGAGGGAGGGTAAAAGAGAGGATACAAATAAAGCAAATAAGAACACCCAGCAACAATCTGCCCTCCAAAGAGACAGCGGCGACCGACTGACGAGTGACTGCCAAGTGTGAACTCACCTGACCAGAGTCTGGTTGTGCAGGTCCCAGACCGCGATGTGCCCGTCGCTGCAGCAGCTGAAGCACACCTTGGCGTCGGGGCTGATGGCCAGAGCGTAGCAGGCCGGGGCGCTCGAGTTCAGCTCTGCCTTGATCCTCGGTTTAGGCTGTGAGAGCAAAACGGTCAGTCTTAGAAAGGTTTTACGGCCCTCGCAAAGAGCGAAAGGCTCACAGCTAAAAGGATTTGAAACAACAAACAAACAACAACGGTGCTTGCAACTGCATAAGGTCCATAAGGTCATATGAGCAACAAGGGGTGGTTGTCAACAGAGAAGTCCTTACAGGGAATCAGGCTTACTCTGCTCACCTCTCTAGCTTCAACAGCACAAGGTCGACTATCATTATCAAGGCACAAAGTATACATAGTCACTTTTCAATGAAAGTTCACACACACACACACACACACACAAACACACACACACGCACTCACACGTGAAAGTTACAATTTAATAATATAAAACAGCTGATATAGCTGGAACAGTTGCAATCCAAAAGAATTTTGTTAGTTCTTATTGAAACTATACAGTAACAACACAGAAACTACTTACAGTTGCCAGGTCCCAGATTGTTAACGTGCTGGCTTCTCCACCCACTATCAACGTTCGGCCATCTTGAAGAAGTTTGATAGAACGAATGTAGTTGTCCCGTTGCTTGAAGAAGAAAAAAACACCCAAGATCACAGTGAGATATACAACCAGACAAGCAAGATGAGACCACATATCAAAACATTAGTTTATATTTTCAAAAAAGTTTTAATTTTATTATTTTTTGTAGCTCTTGCAACATGAATAAGTCATATAAATGCTGAAGATCAGAGGTGTAACTAAAGAGTAACATAGAAAGAAAATAAGGAGAGATAAATTTAGATAGATGCTTGATTACGGTAATGAAGGAGCAAACTACATCAGAGTGCAGACCGACCATCTACACACAGTTTCTATTTCTTTTTAAAGTGCCAACAAGTAATAAACACATACAGTGTGAGAAATGCAAATAAAGAAAGGAACAAGCTTTCATTGTCTCAGAAAAGGTCATGTTTCAATTCCCTGACTTTTGAAACAGAAAAACATCTATAAATAAAGCTGATAGAGTAAGAGTTACATTGAAAAAGAATAATCTGACACAACTATACAGATAATTTTTCACACTAGCCACGGAGATGTCACAGCAGTACCGGGGGACTGTTTAGTTTTAGTAAGAGTTTTACAGTTCTTGCAACACAATAAGGTCATATAAGTGCGGAAGAATAGAGGTGTCAAAAGAGAGATACAAACACAAAAAATATGAAGGAGAGCAGAGATAAGGACGATAGACGTTTGATAGGAAAGAAGGAGCAAGGACTGTTAATACTGTTATTGTCTTTTCTGAAAAAACCAAAAAAAAACTTATGAGAAGTGCACATACCAGACAGTCCAGCTGCGAGATGGGAGGACTCTTGTTGCCTGGCTGACTGATGTCCCACACCTTGACACAACCCTGGAGAGGAAAACAAAACAATGTTGTTGGGGTTTTTTGGTGTTTTTTTTAAGTAATTGTTTTTCGGCACTTGCAACACAATATAGTTTGTATAAGTATCGAAGATTAGTAGAGGTGTTACATGGGAGTTTTTTAGTTTAAGTAGAGTTTTACCACACTTGCAACACAATAAGGTCATATAAGTGCCGAAGATTAGAGGTGTTACAAGAGAGTAACAAACACAAAAAAGAAGGTGGGTAGATAAGGATGATAGATGTTTGATAGGAAAGAAGGAGCAAACCACACCAGAGCACACGCCAACCACCCACTTAGCAAGATGGTACTTAATGGGTATTTTTATAACACAAGTTTGACGAAAGAAAAGGTTGGATATGGGAGAAGAGGAGGAGGGAGCGAGAGAGTGAGTGAATTGGAGGGAGAAGAAGAAAGAAAGAGTGAGAGAGAGAGAAAGAGAGGTAAAGAAGAGAGAGAGAGAGAGAGAGAGAGAGAGAGAGAGAGAGAGAGAGAGAGAGAAAGAAAGAGAGAGAGAGGTTAAGAAGAGAGAGAGAGGGAGAGAGAAAAAAAAAAGAAGAGTAGAAGGATGTGGACATCTACAACACTGACAGAGCCACGAAACAAACACAATCTGACGCCACAGGGGCGCCAAACACCTCTCAGTCAGCTCGCTCAACCACTGGCTCAAGCCGTGTGTCATTCCCTCACCTTTCCACCCGTGTACACGTGCCGCGTTGGATTACTGACTGTGACGGCACACACCACTTCCCCGTGGTTCAATGTGTTGATCTGACGTGCGTGTCGGGGGATGCCCGGCCCAATGAGCGCATCGGGGGGAAATGGAACGGGCTGCATCTGACCGTCACCACTTACATGGAATGAATAAGCTCTGGAGAAAAACAAGAGAAAAATAGTTTTAGTAGAGGTTTTACGGAGCTCGGAACTGCATAAGGTCATAGTTTTAGTTTTAGTAGAGGGTTTTACGGCGCTCGCGACTGCATAAGGTCATTCGAGCGCCAGAAGATTAGAAGTGTTACAAGAGAGTAACAAGCATAAAAAAGGAGGGGAGAAAAGGATGACAGATGTTTGATAGGAAAGAAGAAGCAAACCACACCAGAGCACCCGCCAACTACCCACAGAGAAAAATAGAAAATGATGATGATGATGATGATGATAACAACATTTGTATTGCGCACATCATCCCCGCTCGACAGCAAGTTCTATGTGCTTTACACTATATTATTACCCCAGCAGACCATAGAACACTCAGAAACATTCTCAGCTTCTCAGGAAGGATACAGTGAAAGCAGCTGATTAAGCACTCAAACACTAACAAACTGACAAGATCTTTCATTGTCTATAGCCGTGTACCCATTCCCACCTGAGTGTAGTGAGGAAAATTCATGTAAAGTGCCTTTCCCAAGGACACAACATTGGGCTCCAAATGGGATTCGAACTCATGACCTTATGGCTGCGTGTCTCAGAGCCTAACCACTGGGCCACCGACGCCACATTCTACTATGAGTCTTGCATGGTAATGTTCAAAACACACCATTCCTCGCCTACATGTTTCAAGTTCAAAGTAATATATTGCAATCTGAAAAAGGCAACTAGATTTACTTTACAAGCACAAAGCACAAAAATATTCCAATGACTTTCCATTTGCTAAATATAAACATAACCAAAAACAAAGGAGGGAAACTCTGGATCTGTGTATATTACAGAATGGAGAGGA